ATCACATCAAAAGGGTTAGTGTAAGGGCGTGCACATTTATGCAACCAGATTAATTTCATTTTTTATGTTTACTTCCCCCACTAAAAAGATTTCAGTTTGTTTTTTCAACTGAGTTGTACAGTTTTATAGGTCACATAAAAGGTGGGAAAAGTCCTGAAATGATTTTTCTTTATCTCATTTTTCTACATCACAGAAACTTGACATTTTAACAGGGGCGTGAAGACTTTTTATATCCACTGGACATAACATTTTTGGGTGTAATACCACTTTAGCCTTCACCTATAAATGAACGCATATTACGATTTGAAGTAAATGGCAGCACAACCATCAACTACTCCAAAGGCGCATCAAAACATATAACTTTTGCTGCTGTAAAAGACCAATGGAAAGTTTAGTTTTAACTACTTCCCGTCCAGCCCATGTATATGAACGGCCGGATGGTGGTAGTGCAGGGGTGGGTTGCCGTTCATAAACGGCCCCCGCCATTTTGGATTGTGCGCACTCCCACAAGGACTGAAATCCTGCAGTGCCCGCAAGGTCCCTCTGCTCAAGAAAGCACATGTCCAGACCCGTCTGAAGTCTGCCACTGAACATCTGAATGATGCAGAGGAGGACTGGTGGGAAGTGTTGTGGTCAGAGGAGACCAAAATCCAGCTCTTTGGCATCAACTCAACTCGCTGTGTTTGGAGGAGGGAATGCTGCCTATGACCCCAAGAACACCATCCCAACTGTGAAACATGGTGGTGGAAACATTCTGCTTTGGGGGTGTTTTTCTGCTAAGGGGACAGGACAACTGCACCGCATCAAAGGGACGATGGACGGGGCAATGTACCCTCAAATCTTGGGTGAGAACCTTCTTCCCTCAGTCAGGGCATTGAAAATGGGTGGTGGATGGGTGTTCCAGCATGACAATGACCCAAAACACACGGCCAAGGCAACAAAGGAGCGGCTCAAGAAGAAGCACATTAAGGTCCTGGAGTGGCCTAGCCAGTCTCCAGACCTTCATCCGATGGAAAATCTGTGGAGGGAGCTGAAAGTTCGAGTTGCCAAACATCAGCCACCAAACCTTAATGACTTGGAGAGGATCTGCCAAGAGGAGTGGGCCAAAATCCCTCCTGAGATGTGTGCGAACCTGGGGGCCAACTCCAGGAAACGTCTGACCTCTGTGATTGCCAACAAGGGATTGGCCACCAAGTACTAAGTCATGTTTTGTGAAGGGGATCAAATCCTTCTTTCCCTCATGAACACGCAGATCAGTCATCATTTGTTAGACGCATTTCTGCTGAATTTGTTGTTGTATTCTGTCTCTCAGTGTTACACCGAACATTCCATTGTTAGACCGATCATTTTCTGTGTGAGGGGCGAACATTCCATTGTTAGACCGATCATTTCTGTGTGAGGGGCGAACATTCCATTGTTAGACCGATCATTTCTGTGTGAGGGGCGAACATTCACCATCAGCCGGGGAGCAAATACGCATTTCCTTTACTGTACACCTGTGGCCATGCAGGGGATTGGAACACCTGAATCACATGATATGGAGGGGATTGGAACACCTGAATCACATGATATGGAGGGGATTGGAACACCTGAATCACATGATTGGGAGGGGATTGGAACACCTGAATCACATGATTGGGAGGGGATTGGAACACCTGAATCACATGATTGGGAGGGGATTGGAACACCTGAATCACATGATTGGGAGGGGATTGGAACACCTGAATCACATGATTGGGAGGGGATTGGAACACCTGAATCACGATTGGGAGGGGATTGGAAAACCTGAATCACATGATTGGGAGGGGACTGGATCACCTGAATCACATGATTGGGAGGGGACTGGAACACCTGAATCACATGATTGGGAGGGGACTGGAGCACCTGAATCACATGATTGGGAGGGGACTGGAGCACCTGAATCACATGATTGGGAGGGGATTGGAGCACCTGAATCACATGATTGGGAGGGATTGGAACACCTGAATCACATGATTGGGAGGGGACTGGAACACCTGAATCACATGATTGGGAGGGGATTGGAGCACCTGAATCACATGATTGGGAGGGGATTGGAGCACCTGAATCAGCTGATGGGAGGGCGGGGCCGATACTTTTGGTAATAGAAATGTTGAATGCGTATAAGTAACACCTGACTCTGTTTTGCTCTGATTTTTGCAGATATAAGAGGTAATTATTTAACAACAAATCGAATTTCTGAAGTTTGACTTACATGATATCATTAGGTAATCCTCGGAAGCCCCCTTTAAATCATCCTCTTCCTCCTCAGTTTTGACGCTCACCGAGGAGCCGGAAGGCGCCTGGATAATGGCGTCCGAAGTACAGCTTGCCACCAAAACCTCCTGTGAGACCAGAGTGGGCGAATGAGACCCACACAAGCCATCCCGTACCACGTGCGCCAGCTGACCATCGCCGTCATCGACCAGGTCAGCGACAAACACTTGGTCGGGGATGGCGACGGTTTCGGTGATGATGTCAGACTCCAGGACGTTATGGCTGCCGTCCAACTCCTCCTCGATGGCCACGTCCGTCTCCAGGACCGCCTCCGGAACGATGACATTCTCTGTGACGATGTCGGCCTCGGTGATGATATCTGGACCTTGGACCACCTCGTCCGATATCTCCTCGTGCTCCAGCGTGATGTCGTCATCCGTGATGACGTCGGAAACTAAGACGCCTTGCGGGACTGAGACGACGATGTGGTCGCCATCGATGTGGGCGGTGCCAGCCAATCCAGCCACTGTGGAGAAACACAAAAATGATACAAAACAATAACTATACCTTCACTGATTATGGCGAGTTCCCATTGATGTGGAGACCTCAGATACGGTCTCCACTGAGCTTCTGTCTCATTATTCCTCATCACGAAGCATTGCCCCTCCTACTTATTCTCCTAAATTGGTTTTACTTCAGCAACTTCCCTTCAGCGACTTTCCCTATACGTGATTTTGCATTTCCGGGTAGGGGGTGCACCTACCTAGAGTCCCCCCTGTGTGTCATGTGATCTCGGTATACATCCAGCTGTTCTGTGAAGCCCTCAGAGGTTTGTTAGAGAACATTAGTGAACAAACAGCATCATGAAGGCCGAGGAAAACACCAGACCGGTCAGGGATAAAGTTGTGGAGAAGTGTAAAGCAGGGTCAGGTTATAAAAAAATCTGCCAAGCTTTGCCCATCTCACGGAGCACTGTGTTCAATCCATCATCCGAAAATGGGAAGAGTACGGCACAACTGCCAACCTACCAGGACAAGGCCGTCCACCTAAACTGACCGGCCGGGCAAGGAGAACATTCATCAGAGAAGCAGCCAAGAGGCTCATGGGAACTCTGAAGGAGCTGCAGAGATCACAGCTCAGGGGGGAGAATCTGTCCTCAGGACAACTATTAGTCGTCACTCCACAAATCCGGCCTTCATGGAAGAGTGACGAGAAGGAGCCATTGTTGGAGGAAAGTCATAAGAAGTCCTGAGAAGCCATGTGGGGGACACAGCAATCGTGGAAGAAGGGGCTCTGCTCAGAGGGGACCGACATGGGA